GACGGACAGGTATAGTTTCAGTTTCACACAGCCATACTGTATAAGGTAAACTTTGCCTGTAAAGAATAAAACAACAGAAAACAAAGACACTTTTCATCTATGTTATTTATTCACAAGTTGATAATAGGAGATAATATTATGCAACACAGAATGCTAAGATATACTTACAGGAATATCTAATGATGCGTATCTTAAAGAAAGGAAAAACTGCACTTGCTGATACATGAAATAATCTACATAGGCAAAGAATACCATCAGAAATTAAGCAAAATGTCGCAACAAATGCTATGTGAAGAGAAAGTCCATGGTGATCAGGTAGAGGTCCACGGGCAGAGCCTCCAATAGGATAATATAGTAATAGGGTGAGGATCTGGGAACAAAGCCCTCGGGTCAGGAAGATTTATAGTTCATAAAGTAATTTTTGTGGCTGAAGTAAAAGGGGCTTGGTCTTTCAGGGGTATGGTCACTTCTTGAATGATTGACAATAATGTTCTTTACGATGGAAACACTTATTGTTGTTCACGATGGCAAGCAATAAGAAATACAATCATATTACACTATGATTAATAAAAACCAGGAATAACAATTGCAAGGTAGGTTGGCTGTGTAAAACTAAAAAAAAATACCAATGGGAGCTAAAACACCAGAGAGAAAGAGAAGGATAATAGGAAATGAAAGGACAAGTGGTGAGACAGTCACATAAACGTAATAAAATGACAAATCATCTCGACTGTGAGAGATATAGAGGGAGACTGAGACAGAAAAAAAGAAAACAGGGAAACACTCAGACTGACCTGGTAGACGGCCGAGCGAGGGAGGTCCAAGCACACAGCGCAACACAAAATGCCTCCCAGACGCGCTTCTAATTTATTTTCGGGGTCATCTCTGTCGCAAGACTCAAGTCTTCTTTTCTTTATGGCAATTTCCTCCTCCTCCACCGTGTCCTCGCACCTCTTCTCAGCCACGGAAGGCGAGGCAGAAGACGTAGGTGCTGGTTCAGTCATGGTGGTTCCTCCTGCAGTAGTTCCTGAGAGATTCCTCTCGTCGACGTTCTTTTATTACTGTCTTCTCTTAGTTACTGTTATCCTCAATGCGTTTTTTAAAACAGACTATTTATATCTTCCTCTCTATCTCTTTTGTCTCTGGCTATAACCCCTTTTCTACTTCTTTCTGCTGCTGGTTTCCTTCGGTGGAGGTTTGTTTTGCTCTGATCAGCTGTTCTGGCAAAGGCGTGTCTCTCCCTCGCTCCCTTCCCCCCAAAACAAAGTAGTTCCTCCCAACTTGTTCTATTTTAAGGCTTCTGTAGGAAGGATGGAAGTCTATAAAGGCCCCATGGTATAGATGAGTCAATTTCGATGATTTGTACATCTCAATACTTCATTTAACACTTGTAATTAGAATAATGACCTACATTGCTTTGTTAGGCATTGCGTAAAACGAGACAAGAAAGGAGAATGTACGAGATTCATACTTGGCGTCAAAATGCGTTTGGTCACAAAAAATAAGAATGAATATGTATTATTATAGAATATGTTATAGATACATCTTGTAACCATGGAAATCCGGTAATAGAATTAATAATAGCCCATTCACCACCGATCGCGAAGATTAAAACTCGCCAAAGACCAATGTACCCCGAGGGAAAGTAATGACAGGAGGGAGATGAGCCCCGATACAGTGACCCACAGTACCGTTCTACGCAGTAAGAATGTAATGAAACACGTAGATGAAATAGTGGAACATGAAAAGGTATAAGATAATAAACGAGAGCATTGATAAAATGAAAGAGGATGTTGACACACTGTCTGGCAATATTCAGGTGCTGTATGTCGAAGATTCGTCATAATTCTAACCAAGGATATCTATCTACATTTTATTTCTTATTTGACTGAGGTACTTTCAAGATCCAGGCTTATAACAATTGCAATCATGTACCTCCACGCGCATTATCACGTTCACGAGTTTCTAAAACATGACGAAACACATCCACGCGTTGCCAGTACCTGCGAGATCCCGTTCCTACATGTTCACTTGATTTTTAGTGAGATAATGCCAGAAAGTTCTATGCCAGGTAGCTCACTAAATCTTTTCTTAGAGGTTATTCACCCATGAGAAATGTAACGATGCTGTCGGCCAGACTGTGTTATTTAGACTTATTTATTATTTTGTTCACGTCTTGTGCTTGGCCTCATGAATAATGGATTGCATACCTCCCTGCCGATGCGCGCAGAGGCAGATGTTCGTACACTCGAGATTCTTGCACACACACGCGCGCGAGCACACACACGCACACACACATTCACACACACACACACACACACACACACACACACACACACACACACACACACACACACACACACACACACACACACACACACTCACTTTCACACTCACTTTCACATTCACAAACACACAACACATACACTCACACTCACACTCACATTCACACTCACTCACTTTCACATTCACATTCACTCACATTCACACTCACTTTCACATTCACACATTCACATTCACACTCACTTTCACATTCACACACACACACACACACAGACACATATACACTCACATTCACACTCACTTTCACTTTCACATTCACATTCACACTCACTTTCACATTCACACTCACATTCACATTCACACTCACTTTCACATTCACATTCACACTCACTTTCACATTCATATTCACATTCACACACACACACACACACACACACACACACACACACACACACACACACACACACACACACACACACACACACACACACACACACACACACACACAAACTTAAGCTCAAAGGGTCATAAAAGTGAAAAGCCCATAAAATGCTATTTCTAATTTCCAGCATGAAAAGAGGCATTCATATATGTGGACGAAGATATGATAAAGATCGTTACAGCCTATTCTCGAATATGGCGCATTAGTATAGTCTACATAAAAGATGTAAACAAAACGGGAAAAGTACAAAGAGCTGTGAGTCCCGAAGAAAAACTATAGGAAATGGGACTTACTGCTTTGGATAAAAGGAGGAAAAGGTACATGATTATGCTGTTCTTACTATATTACAGGAAGTGTGAAGTTAGAGAAAAATAACGTTATAAGTAGAACGAGAGGACATGGTAAGTTGAAAGTAAAAAGAAGCTATAATGGTGTCAAAAAATTAGTTTTCCAAAACGGACTATTGAAATATGAAACGGTTTCCCAAGTAGCGTAGACAAAAATAAGCATCCACTAAATAGATAAGTGATAATTTGAATATTGCAGACGGGACCCTCATGCATCGAAAAAAAACTAGGCAATAACGCATACACATACACACGCACACGCACACGCACACACACACGCACACGCACACGCACACGCACACGCACACGCACACGCACGCACACACACACACACACACACACACACACACATACACACACACACACACACACACACACACACACACACACGCACATCTCACTCACACACACACACATCTCACTCACTCTCCAACTTAATCATGCACGCATGCGAACACGCATCGCGCACACACACACACACACACACACACACACACACACACACACACACACACACACACACACACACACACACACACACACACACACACACACACATACACGCGCCCGCACATATTTTGCTATTCACTATATTAGTCTCCGCATTATTTTTAAGTACTATAAGCCCTGCCTTAGATTCGTGTACCCTTAAGCCCATTTTTTCAGGATTATTTTCTATGCAATATTAACGTCAACTTTTCTAGTAAACAATGCAGAAAAGAGGGTGGGTTAGAGAGAGAGAGAGAGAGAGAGAGAGAGAGAGAGAGAGAGAGAGAGAGAGAGAGAGAGAGAGAGAGAGAGAGAGAGAGAGAGAGAGAGAGAGAGAGAGAGAGAGAGAGAGAGAGAGAGAGAGAGAGAGAGAGAGAGAGAGAGAGAGAGAGAGAGAGAGAGAGAGAGAGAGAGAGAGAGAGAATTTAATTTATTTATCTCGCTTGGTAAAATTTAAGAATTTGCTGGAGACCACAAATGTGACAACAGCTGAAAAATTCTTTCGTCTTGGCTCTGAATTAATTTCCGTTTTAACAACAAAAAACATGATTTATGCAAATTAGTTATTAAGCTTCTCCTGCATTTTCAAATGTCTCATAAATGTTTTCTTTCCGTTGTAAGGTTTATTGCAGATATCCGGCAGAGGATCAGTCGATAATGCTTTGTCCTTAGCTGTTAAATTCACACTTTTCCATTTGAATACATTTTTGTAAAGTTTTGTTTTTTTATTTTATTTATTTATTTATTTTTCTTTTAGAATATTCCCGTAACGATTTGCTTCTCAGTGGTTTGAGGTGGCTTGCCTGAAAAAAAAAAAAAAAAAAAAATGCGGTGTTTTTCGCTCGTAATTCCATCTACATTATCCCACATAAAGTGTTCGTGATGAATACCAACTTTCTGAGAAACAGGTGAAGTTAATCAAGCGTTTAAAGGATTGCCGTTTGCTCTATTTCAGTTTTTCTCCTTAATGCTGTGTGCTCCTGTTTATATCTGACCATTCGCGCGTGTCCGTCACCTTGGGCCAGAATACCCACAATGCACTTGGTGAACAATTCCGCCATGCTAGACTGTTCTCACTGATAATCGTAAAAAATGAATGTTTTTGTGGCAGATCCCATGACTTATCAGTTATTCTTATCTGTTTTTTTTGCAAATGCAATAAACGGCTTGTCAGTGATATAGAGGATTTTTATAATTCAGTATCGATCATCCAAGATAAAAGAGGATAAACTGAAATGAGTTGTGATTCAGACTGGGAGAGAGAGAGAGAGAGAGAGAGAGAGAGAGAGAGAGAGAGAGAGAGAGAGAGAGAGAGAGAGAGAGAGAGAGAGAGAGAGAGAGAGAGAGAGAGAGGAGAGAGAGAGAGAAGAGAGAGGGAGAGGAGAGAGAGGAGAGAGAGGAAGAGAGGGAGAGGGAGAGAGAGGAGAGAAGGAAAGAAAGAGAGGGAGAGGGAGAGGGGGTATGACCACGAAGTATCCGATGCACCGCCTCCACACCTTTTTTCATTGGTCATCCAACGCATCGGAAATGTTTTGGCCATGATTACAGATATCAAGCTTGAAGTACAGCTGGTCGCATAATCAACACTGGTTGCCCTTGTCATCTTGGCCACCAAAGCAACCTCGGTCGTTTTATCTTCCAAGCTAGTTTGGGTAACGAGTATTGTTTATGTTTTGTTGTGATTTCGAAATTTGAAGAGGAATTGTAGGCCTATTTTTGTAAACCTGCAAATATATTTATATGAATGGTGTTCTCGTTAACTGTTTTTTTTTATATGTTGTTGAAGTCTTGTAAGTATTCTAAATTGCAATATTGCTTCTTTCTTATAATCCTCTGAAATATAACAAAAAAGATATTTGATTATCATTTCAGTTATATATCTGAAAAGTTTACATTTTCGTATTCACCAACGGTAAAATAATTGGTAATTAAAGTTCATAATTTCTGTAGTGTAGGATAAAACCTTAAATTATCGACAATTTCGATGTGATTTAAGCCTTTTCTTTTCACATAACACCCTCGTATCCTTAAAAATTTTGATGCGCGCCAGAGATCAAAATAACGGATTTTTTTTTTTTTTTTTTTTTTTGGAACATGCTGTAACATATATGCTTATATGGTCAATGGGATTTGAATGGCTTCCACCTGATGCCACACCACATGCTCCAAATATGTTATAACTTAATTGTCCTAAAACACCTATTTAATTATTATATAACAACTATATTACTGCATTTAGTTTGGTTCCACATTCCTGCAATGCTATATTATCGTTGTTAAGGCTATTAATAATATAATTGTGATGTTTAACATTATAACTGTAAATTATAATACAATGATAACGATAATAGTAATGTGAAGTAGTAAGAATTATAATGATATTGTATATTGTATAATAATAAGAATGATAATGATAGTAGCAATTGTGGTGCAACGACAATGAATATCATTATAAAAATAGTACTATACATCCATATCGCATTTATTCATTAATTACGTCGACTATTCCTACTATATTTCGTTAGTAGATATTGACAGGAATCTCTTGATACTTAGTGAGTCTAAAGATGCTAGCTAGTTCTTGAAAAAAATCATACTTTAACTTATTATTTCGATTACTATACTTATAATGTTCATAATAAGAATAGTGATAATAATAATGATAATAATAATAATAATAATAATAATAATAATAATAATAATAATAATAATAATGATAAAAAAATAGAAAAATAAATAAAGAGAGAAAAAATAAGAAATATAACTAGTAGTAGTACTATTGTTATTATTTTTATTGTTATAATTACTGTTATCATTGTCATTGTCATTATCATTATTATCATATGTTATGAACATT